ACAAACAGACAAGAGAAATACTTGAGAAAGGAATGAACTACAGGCATTGGAGACGGGGCAGGGAAGGAGCACCAGCTTTTAGGAGGCTGCGTGCCCCCACAGGAGCCCGTGCGTGGATGAAGAGGGGCTGCAGGAGGGGAGCCGGCAAAGCCCCCGGATGCCACCAGCCGCTACAAAACCTCCCAACTCCATAGAACCAGCTGCCTCTCGGCACAGGGCAGCAGGCATGGACGCAGGTACATGTCTGAGCACTATGCCTAAAAATAAACATACCAAACCAACAGTTATTTCACCACTGCTAAATAGCAAACAAAAATTTTCTGGTTCTCAGGGTCTTCATCCCTGAGGGGTGATGGGAGAAACAGCACAGGTTTTGCTGCATCACCAAAGCCCGTGCCTGAGGGCATCCAGCACCCTTCAGTCAAGGAAATATCCAGGAGGACCAGAGTAACCTTTTCTGGCCAACACCAGCTCACAGCGAACAAGTAATGACAATGTGCGATGCACACCATGGAGGCAGATTTCTGAGGCTCTTTTATTTTAAAAACTCAACACATTTTCTGACTGTCATTTCAATCCCAAATACATCAGAAAAATAAGTTAAACCATAGAATCATAGAATAGTTTGAGTTGGAAGGGACCTCTAAACGTCAGCTAGTCCAAACCCCCTGCTGTGGGCAGGGACATTTTCAACTAGATCAGGTTGCTCAGAGCCCCGTCCAACCTGACCTTGAATGTTTCCAGGGATGGGGCATCCACCACATCTCTGGGCAACCTGTGCCAGTGTTTCACCACCCTCAGTGTAAAAAATTCTTCCTTATATCTAGTCTACATCTACCCCCTTTCAGTTTAAAGCCATTCCCCCTTGTCCTGTTGCAACAGGCCCTGCTAAAAAGTTTGCTGCCATCTTTTGTATGAGCCCCCTTTAAGTACTGACAGGCTGCAATAAGGTCTCCCCGGAGCCTTCTCTTCTCCAGGCTGAACAACCCCAACTCTCTCAGCCTTTCTTCATAGCAGAGGTGTTCCATCCCCCTGATCATTTTCGTGGCCCTCTTCTGGACCCGCTCCAACAGGTCGGTGTCTTTCTTATGCTGAGGGCTCCAGAGCTGGACGCAGTACTCCAGG